CAGGGGCGGATCTAGGAATTTTCGTACGTTAGTCAAATTTTTCCGAGTTGCTACCATCCGGGGGGGGGGGGCTTTTACTTTCTGTCTGCGGGGGTTGTAGCATTATAAGTTATTCGTTGTTCGCCCGACAGCCGACGCGATTGTACTGTCACGATATTGTAATGTCGCGCGATTGTCTGGAATTTTGTTTTACACATCGGCATGTTCTTTTAATAAATACGTTTTTGACCCTCCTGTCAACAAAACGTCATATTATATAACAAAGGAATTGTCGGAAACTGTTAATAATCAATATATTTAGTATAAAATAATGTTTTGTTCACACGTGGGACGCACGAGTCAGAACTGTAATGAATCGGAAAATTCCAGATTACATTGGTTGTTGCTATTGTATAGTGGGAGGTTTTTTAGTGAGAGATTTTGCGAAATTAGGATAGTTCGTAGCGTCGAATAAAAGCAAAAAGAAACTATTGTGTTGAGGATTATCTCGCAATTCTCAACAAGATTTCACACGAACAATCACAAAATCCGCTTACTTCTAGATATCGTATTACAACACAGCATAACACCCGACCATGCAATCTCAAAATTTCCAGATTCTGTCGCTACTAATACATCAATTAAATATTGCCCGATACAAATATAAACGAACACAACAGCGGTTTATACTTTATAGCTTTAACTATGGTTATACACAGTTAATTTAAGCAGCCAAACCGCTTTTACTGTATATCTTATTACCGCCGTCAATAAGCACACTTTAAGGCCCATACAGACCAGACGCGATTTGGCAACGCGACGCGAATTTCCAGTTTTCAATGGCACTTAACTTTAATATTTTTCAATGTTTTTGAAATAGTTGGAACCACTGAAGCAATTTTAGCTATTTGGTCTGCATATCTTGTAAAATTTTATCCGTTGATGGTTTTATTTGTTTTTGAAAACTGAAAATTCGCGTCGCGTTGCCGAATCGCGTGCTGTCTGTGTGGGCCTTTAAGCAGGTTTTAAAGCTTACTTAGTACCAGACTATGAAGTAAAATATAAATATAATCTCCTAACCTTATCGCTGTACATTTCTATTGTGGTGGACGATCACCGAATTGAAATCTCTAGCGAGACTGGTTCTGGTGATATAGTTGTGGATAGACTTGGTATGAATAGCGGCTAAAAGCTCTTCGATATATCGATCTTGTATTGAAGTATTGATATGCTTTAAAAGATCTGTGTTCACCATTTCTAGACTGGACAGTCTCGTATAAACTTTATATTGCGGGAACCACTGAGTATTTTACACATACATTTTATATTGTCGTCGTACTCGTACGTAAATTTAATCTTCGCGGTGGATAAACAGTTTCGAATGAGTCAGATGAGGCAAAAAATATGAGCCTATGAGAGAAGAGAATTTGGTCTTTTTCGACCAATCAGAACTTCAAATATTGCGCAAATAAGGCAGACCCCCACGAAGATGAGGCAAAAAAGTTGAACCAATGAGAGAAGAGAATTCTCCTTCAATCAGCCAATCAGATACCTCATAGATGACGTAAATAAGGCAGACCCCCACGAAGATGAGGCAAAACCATTCTCGACCAATCAAATGGCTAGAATCTGCCTCAAGTAAGTCAAGGCCACTGAACTTACAACTGCTGAATGAAACTTGATAACTGGACTATTGTGCCATTTGCTATCACTGCAGGAAGGACTACAACTGGAGTACTGGACAATTTTATGAATGAGTAATTATCTGCGCAATTTTTACGTTAGTCGCGTGACTTATTTGACAACCCCTAGATCCGCCCCTGATTTGCGGTGCTTTCGCCATTATACGCGGTGGTTCAAGCATTATACGCGGTGGTTCGAGCATTATACGCGGTGGTTCTAGCATTATACGCGGTGATTTCAACATTATACGCGGTGCTTTCGCCATTATACGCGGTGCTTTCACCATTATACGCGGTGCTTTCACCATTATACGCGGTGCGTTCACCATTATACGCGGTGCTTTCACCATTATACGCGGTGCTTCCAACATTATACGCGGTGCTTTCGTCATTATACGCAGTTAGCGTTACGCGCGGTGCTTTCACCATTATATGCGGTGGTTCGAGCATTATATGCGGTGGTTCGAGCATTATACGCGGTGGTTCGATCATTATATGCGGTGGTTCGAGCATTATACGCGGTGCTTTCATCATTATACGCGGTGCTTTCGTCATTATACGCAATTAGCGTTACGCCCGGTGCTTTCACCATTATACGCGGTGGTTCGAGCATTATACGCGGGCTTTCATCATTATACGCGGTGGTTCGAGCATTATACGCGGTGGTTCGAGCATTATACGCGGTGCTTTCATCATTATACTCATTTGCATCATTATGTGGTAGTGAGCATCATTATGTGGTAGTGAGCCAGTATGTTTGGACAGCGGCTTAGAAAGAATATTTTATACTTCGTGTCTCGATCACATGTTAGCATTTATATGTTTTGCGACGGCAAATTTTCGCAATATATTTAGAGTTTTTTGAGGGGAAAAAACGTTTACTTCGAACACGATTAATGTTCAAAGAATGCTATTTAGTGTTATATTTTTTTTTGTCATCGACGAAATACTTCGATATCTGGGCATGGAGGCAGTTTCAGTTTTTAAGTTTAGATATAGGTAATGAGAACCATATTGCCTATTGGTGTCCTAGTAATAATTTTATGCCACAATAGTCCCCAAATGTTAGATCCAAAAGTGTAGTGTGAAATATGATAGTGCATGTGATGGCCTCGTGTTGTTGGCGCAATGTATGCCTGTGAAAATTATGTTGAGATAAAACTGAGGAAAAACGACTTGTATTTGTATAAATGTGAACCTAAGAAATATAAGTAGGCTACAGGTGTAGATTTATGAAACATAAAATTGGAGATGCATGTGGATCCATGTGTGATTGTAAATTTGTAACGGTAAAATATATCCTGTGGTGTAAAAAATATTTGATCTGACCAAAAGGTATGATCGCGCTGAACTTAATAAAGCGTGTATGGAAGCACATGTAAAATATATAAAGCGAGAGAAAGAAATAGTCACGTGCCGTAAAAGTCGCTATATCCCTGTACGCGGCGTTTCGTCCTTCATGGAATGGTCAGCAGGGATTTGGGGCTGGCGCATGTCATGTGAAGGATAGAATACAGAAATCGATTTGGATTACAGAGTGAATAAATATAAAATAGCAAAATATGTGCACGACTATTGTAAAATAAATGTAAAATATAAGGTGTCTTACCAAATTGGGCCATCGTTGCATGGGCCATGGTTGTACCGAATTACTAAGGAATGTAGTACAACTATAAAGTATATAGCGTTTATATAGAGCGTCTTTCGTTACGACAGGTAAGAAGAAACAGGCTATAGAGAATTTGTTATGCAGCTGTACAACCCTGTGTCGTTTAGTGTCAGTATTGACGACCGTTCAAGTACGGCGAAAACCTAAAACAATCGCATCGACTAGACTCAGAAACGCAACAATGCATCTATTAACAATTTAGCTATATTTTTTACATACTGGGTGTCCCCAAAAAACTATACACTGTTTGAGTTCATGTAACGTAAAACTTAAGCTATTTCACTAAAATGAAAACCATTCTATTCACAAAGGATTAACTTAGATTTTGATATACAACATTTAATTTTCCGTACGATATTGACTTCGTATTTAAAGTTCCGAGGAGTTTTAAAAATTGTCGAAAAAACGACAAAAATTGCCGCATCAGACTAAATTGAAAGCAGTTGTCACTTACATGGAATCTTTTTAACTTCAGTGATTTTATCTTTATTTTTTTTTAAATAAAAATTACACTTAAAGATTGATTCTTATTAGAATGAAATAAAAAAGTAATAATTTACGTTGATGTCCTTTGCATGGGCTAATTGTGATTCAAATTCGTAATGAAATACTGTAAACATTGTCGATTAGATTTTTGGATCAACAAATGATTCAAAACGCTTATGATGGCATGATTTCTAGAGCATACACAACGGTTCATTCAGGCTCAAAGACACGCTTTTCCTGATGAGTAAACTCAGTTAGTCAATCCTTTGTACATAAATTCATTCTTTTAGCAAGAATAAAAATTATCAACACGGCAAACTAAATTGGAATTTGATATGCCGTTTTATGCTAATTTTTAACCTTTTCAGAAATGGTAGTTCAATTTCAAAACGCCAATGGTCCAATAGCTCTGTCAACGCGCGGAAAATTAAATGTTATATGTACTGTGATTGTGATTTTTAATAAAAAAACGTTTTGCAATCAGGGATTGAATTACACGTTTTTACATTATATGAAGTTAATTAAGATACATATTCAAAATAAGCTATATAAGAAAATATAAAATTATTAAAACGTTAATTTAAAACTACGAATAAGTTCTAATTGCATATGGGATAAAACTATTTCTAAACCGTTCAGTTTTAGCTTTAATATAATAGGTATAGTTTTTGGGGGACACCCGGTATATTGTTCATATTTTTTAAATTATTTCGTTAAATATTACAACGCAGATATTATAACGTATAAATATTCCGCATAATATTCAAAATATATAGACCATTCAGAGTTTGGGCCGCCTTTGGACTGATAACTAAATAAATATTAACCGCTGTCCAAACATACTGGCTCACTACCACATAATGATGCAAATTATGAATGCACCGCATATAATGCCGAACAGCACCGCGTATAATGCTCGAACCACCGCGTATAACGATTTAAGCACCGCGTATAATGCTCGAACCACCGCGTATAATGCTAGAACCACCGCGTATAATGTTGAAAGCACCGCGTATAATGGTCAAAGCACCGCGTATAATGCTAGAACCACCGCGTATAATGTTGAAAGCACCGTGTATAATGGTCAAAGCACCGCGTATAATGCTAGAACCACCGCGTATAATGTTGAAAGCACCGCGTATAATGCTAGAACCACCGCGTATAATGGTGAAAGCACCTCGTATAATGTCAAAGCACCGCGTATAATGCTAGAACCACCGCGTATAATGGTGAAAGCACCGCGTATAATGCGAAAAGCACCGCGTATAATGCTAGAACCACCGCGTATAATGTTGAAAGCACCCAACAAAATGCCGTTTGATCACTTAAGACAGCTATGGCTTTCCATAGTATTTACATAAAAAAATTCAGAGGCGGCAAAAATCGAGAGGCGGGTGGTGACTCTAACCAACTTTTTTTCTATTTGGCCTTATTAAAATTAAAAATGCAATTGTAGGTCATAACTGAAAAAAGAGTAAATTGACAGCTAAATCTTTTAGATAAGTCACTGAAGTATACGGATGATCCAATCATAGAACTAGAACAAAATTAATTCAGTCAAAGTACTGGATCAGTGACGATTAATAATGTTGTAAATATATGATACGTCATTTCAAAACCTCAAGTTCGGACCAAATTTCAAGTCCTTGTACCTTTCCCCAGTTCTTAGCTTCGCCTAGGATTTGAAATCCCGACGAGTTCTCGTTTTCGGAACTTACCCTCCAGGAACATTTATACACGTATGGCAATTCGGTACTCCAAACTGACATTCATCACGATCATTACAATATTTGGGATTCAGAAAGGAACGTTCGTATCCCTTTTTACATTTGCAAAAATAACTTCCATGTGTGTTACGACATAGATGCTCACAGCCACCGTTATTCCGGGCACATTCATCTATGTCTATACGAAAAAAGAAATATTGGTGACGACTATGGTAGAGAAAAGAAAAGAGAACACCAGAAAAGAGAAGCCCAACTCCTCACCCTCCAAATGACCCAAGGTGCCACGCACAAGCACAATAGATCGAAAATGGGCGGGCGATTTACACTTCCTGGCTAGTATGGATAAAGCATGGAATTTATCTTGGGCAAAGTGTTCTTGAGGAACTCCGACGTTTTGATGACGTGCTTGTAAATGGAAACAAATCCCCCAACTTATTTGTTATCAAGTGGCGAAACACGAAGGAAAAGAGCACCGTGTCATTGTTTCGATGCCGCTTCATAGATATCATCACTTCAATAAAGTTAAGACTTCAGTACTATAGTTATAGTATCATTCCCTCGAAGTCGTTAATTATAGAGATTTTAGAACAACACACAGTAAGTTTAAAACGTCGTCTGCCTCGTTTTCAACAAACTTTTCGTTGTTTTAAATTAAGATAATAAATTCTTTGTAAAAGATAGTTACCTTCGCAAGTATTTTTAACACGGCCCTTCGAGAGTCCGGATGGACATTTACATCTGTAACTGCCCACTGTGTTAATGCATTTTCCTTCACAAATTCCTTTCTTCCTGCATTCATCCACATCTAAAAGGTAAATCAATGTCGTGTGATATAAGATAATTATTTGATATGGCGCGGAGCGCCGTTCCGGGCGTAAGCCCGAGGCGAGGGTACTAATTCTGCCCGGCTATTTACACTCGGGCTACAAAAGCATTAGCGAAGTTTAAAGTTCATCAATGATCGCGGGCGTGGGTGACCGTACGTGTTTCGGTGGGTGGTCACTTTCACTGATCTCAAAAATATGGTGCACTGTCGTGAATAGCGAACACTGATTGGTCAAATTTCAAATTTGCATTATAACGACTACATGACAACAGCGAAATAGCAAACATTTCTTGATTTGATGATTTCTTGCAAATATATTTCATTTTTGGTAGATTTTGTAAATTTCAAAAGCTTTTTAAGAAAATAAAGGCGAAAGAATTGCTAAAGGAAGGGGGTAATGGAGCCGACGTTATCGAGGGTAAGTTTGTTTTAAATATTGATGTATTGTTCGCTTTATAAATGCGCCGATCAAAACGAAGGTGTAACATCTCCCCCCCTGCCGGGCATATACCCGAGCATTTAACTTTTTGGATTTTGCAATGATCGAATCCCCCACCCAAGTTAAAAAACGAAGTTCAAATGCGCTACATTCCACAACTAAGCTGGAAGGTTAAAATTCTTCAACTTTCCAAGTCCATTCTGGTCCAACTAATCTTAACAGAATTCACATTTTGACTTCGAAAATCGTTTAAGAAAAATTTCGCCATTTTCTTGAAAACACAAGAGCAAAAATGTGCTTTTGATTGACACGTTAAAGCCTATGGTTTCTTGTGTCGGCGGGAAGCAAGTTTATCTATAATAGTCTTCATGTTAGATAAACTAAGTTTTCTAATTGTGGTCAAATTTCCGTCGTCATAAAAGGTGGAATCAAATGACCCACCACTTTAAATTTTCTCGGCACCAAATGCCCATCCCTAGGGAAAATCACGACTGGCAAATGCCCCACTCGTGCACGGGGATGTTACACATTCGTTTTGATCGGCGCATAATTGCACTGACCTGAAAGGTCAAGTGTCTTAAATCGCTAATTTTCTGGGTTTTCCTGGGTTTTTTTCGTTGTCGAGAAATCGAGTTTGCGTTAGCGCATCGCAGGCTCAGTTTCCAGTGTTCCAGTTTACTATACAGATCGGTTTTCAAGATGGCGGCCATTCAATGAGTGACTGTTTCAGTCTCAAACAAATTCTTCATTTGTCAACGAATTTTACCGCGTTTGTCTGTGGATTTTGGATTTATCCTACTCTGCACTTTCTTGGAAGTTGACTTGGTGTGTTTTTTTTCGTGCAACGTCTCTGGAAATGCTATATCTGGATTCTAGATTTGATACGTTACGGACTCACGGAATGTGAACGATGTTGTCTGCGATAGTGCCTCGCATGCTCACAGACCATGTGCATTTAATGATTTATGAATAACGTTTGTATTTGTGAGTAATACTTGTGTTTCACTGGACATTACGAAAACATCTCCTCAGGATCACGCCACGCTTTCACTGAGCCTTTCACGCTTTGCGTTTGCGGTTCACGATTAGTATCAGAGAGTTTTAGATTGACATTTACGGCAAACGTCAAACCGTTAACAAAGTTTTTGATTTTACAACTCTATTATAACAGCTTTTACACCAGTTTTGAAATATATTAAACAATAATAAAACTTGTGGTATTTAAAAATGATTCAAGAAAACACCACTAGTCATGTATTGACCAAAGCAGTAAATTAAGATTTAGCGTTTGAAGTTTACGATTGGCGTATAAATTTCATGCTTTAACGATTACAAGCCCTCGTAGCAGTTCAAGCATAAACTTTATACACCAAACATCAACTTCAAACGCCAGATCTTGGCGAATGGTGAATACGTGACTAGTGGTTAATTTGCTTTCTTAAATCGTGGACGTTGCTAAAGAACACAAGTTTGAAAATTGTTTAATATATTTCAAAACTGGTGTAAAAGCTGTTATAATAGAGTTGTAAAATAAAAAACGTCAATCTAAAACTCTCTAATATTCTTGTCTATTGCACTGCACCATAGTCCATAGCACGTACGTTGTCATTTTCAGGTCAGTGTCAATGCCTGAGTAGGCGTCTTGTCGCTTTAAAAGCTGATCGTTGCGTATATTTTAAATGAAAAAAGACAGCATATAATTTCAGTGTTTCTTTATTGATTACCCTTTTTATTATATTTTTATATTAAAATTTTTAAATAAAAAAGAAAGCAAAGTAATTGAGTGCGAGAATTTGAAATCATTTTATTTCAAACTCAAAGTTTTTCGATAAAGGCAGTTTAGTTTTATAAAGAACATTTTAAAACATCTTGCGAAGCCTTAAATTGAAGCTTATACTACGTATAATCGGGGTGTGAGCTTGTTTTGCCCGACCAAAATGGCGTGACGGACGGACATTTCAGTCGCTAATTAATATTTCTTTTCTCAAAATCGTTGGCGAGAGGGGGGGAGGAAGAAATTTTCCCTACAACTATTACTTTTCGATAAATTATGTAAAATTCTTAAACTTGCCCGACAAAACTTCAATATTACAACATTGGGTGATGTCCCAACCCCCCCAAACGAGAGTTAGAACTTCGCGTGTTAAGCATTGTATTAAGTATAGCATTGTTCCCGCCTTGTTCACCTACTCAGTGGTCACGTACTCAAATTATATTTTTCAGATATTAAATCTTTCAACAATCTCGTGAATCCTATATTAAGGACCTGTTTAATTAAAATCTTCATATTGTATTGTCTTCGCCACTGAATCCGATCAGTAGGCTATAAGGCCGCTGAAAGGGCCTATTAGTCGCCTCAGGCTATAAGACCTTGAAAGGGCCTATTAGTTGCCTCAGGCTCGGTGATTCACAGGCGGCCCAATTTCGCAAGGGTCAGTATAGACTTATAGTATAAATGTATATTATATTAATGGTATATTATAGTAAAAATATGTTGTAAAATATAAATTTTAAAATGAAATTGACTTGCCTATTTGATAGTGTGTGTTATCCCTTTATTCCTCCTTTGTTGGACTAATATTTTCCGAGACTTTGTACTCGATGTTACTAGTATACATGAAACATGATAAAGGCTAACGATTCCCGATCGTCGATACGACGGCACGGCACTTCGAATCGAAAATTCTCACA